TGGTTATATTTGGATTCAACAGCATCTCCCTAGTTTGAAGACTGCTAATTTGTCTGCAAACATTAACTATGACATCTGAAAAGGCCCCAATCTTAACTATGACATCTGCTTTACAATTACAAAAGATGCTTCTTTGTTCCGCTGAAATCCACAACTTGCTGCTTTGTCTTCCGACCAAAACATTAGCCTAGAACAGAAAGTATGTCATCTGTGTTGTCTGGATGACATCCTTTTTTTAAAGACTGAGGTTAACTTTGCACTTGATTCTGACCTCCTTCTGGCTCGACATGAATGACTCTCCCCTGAGACAGAAACCAGAGAAGCCAAACATCCTTATTGTACCGTCACATCTGCGTACAGTCTGAAGCTTGGCAGAGTGACAGGAAATTCATATACAGCAGCAATATATACAAATAAAAATCTGAAAACCAGAAATAATGCAGATTTCTTTCTGAAGAATATGGAAACCTGCTGTTACTTAAAGCAATGTGTGTCTCTATGTGTGAAATGTTTTTCAAAAAGCTAAACGCTAATGCTTCAATGTTGATATTTGTTTGAAAGATGATGAACACAAGGCCAAACAACAGCGATATTAATAAGAAAGATGCTCCTGTTATATATCCAGTTCTAAGAAGTTTATTTTCCTTCCGATCATGAGATAAATGTATGAATCAGATTCTCAAGGAAGAAGGAAAGCACCTGGACCAGACAGTAGGGCTTGAGCTAAGAAATGTTCTTTACAAAACAAACACTTGTCCAACTTCAACTAATTGGGAAATGGGCTCTGGTTTCGGACAGAGGGTGAAGAGGTGCTGCAGCACAGGCAGAATGAGAAAGATTAAGACCTTTTTGAACATTAAAGCATGTCACATAGAGGAACACAATACAATTATGAAACCTAAAAAAATGAGCGTTATAGGGCCCCTTTAAAATCCCATAATGTTGTGGCATTGTGCAGTAACCAAGGAAAACTGATACATGTTACTATGACAATATATTGAGCAATAACACAAAGATAAGAAACGTCAGTTCATTTAGATTTATGATACATTTATTTTTATCCAAGTAAGAAACATAAGGCAATGGGCAGTCAAACACGTCATCCCCACCACAGAGTTTCAATCTAGATCTCTATCGGGGAACTAGTTCACACATGTTGCGCCAGGTGCTCTTTCAAGCAGACAAAAAGGTAATAATCTGTGCATCACATGCTACTGATTGTTTGCCTTTAAAAACACTTCACAAACTCTCAGCGAGCACCCACCCACGATGTACGAGGTATTTCATTCAACAGGTTGACCTTGGATGTGTTCAATGTGAAAACCCTTTGGAAACATTTAGTTGTTGATTGATGCATTTCATCCTAACGGTATGCCATCCATTGAAACTGCTATTTTAAGTCTGTTTGCTGCACTTTGGTTGGTGGGTCAGAGGTGGAAACAAATATATCCAATGTGAAAAATCCTAAGAGAACAGTATAAGCACTCTGTTCAAAACGGACTAAATGCACTCTAAAGGGCATACACACGTGTGAACATTTGTGTTAAATTATCTCAGAAAAACATAAGAAACTGCAACATTTGCAACAGGGTGTTCAGCAGATAATGCTTTCTACATTTTATATACATAAGGTTCGACATGGCTGAATATGACCCTGGGCTCAAATCCCCTAAAGAGTAAACACTCGAAGAGTCCTGTTACATGACGGGAGCAAACAAAAAGTTCAACCTGAAGGACTCTACCAGAAACATTATTTAAAAAAAATAGAAGTAGAAGTACCGAGTAGAAATAAAGTGCCAAGATTATGTTTAAATTAGTTTTAAATCTGATGTGAGGGACTGTACATACATATTGATTTTTATTTTTCCAACACAAAACATTAAGAGGGAAGGAATTTATTAATTACCTCATTGAGTTTGTTCCATGATATCAATATAAGATTAAATGTAGGCAAAACATGCAATAGCAAAAGTAGTGTATTACTGGGACAATATTATCTTTATAATAAAAGGGGCACACTATAATGAATATCTACAGTATGAGTGGGTTTATCTGTTGCACATAATTACATTTTCTTCATACTACTTACAATCACATGGTAATGTGTACATTATTGCGCCAGTATGCTATTGAGATATACACAGTAGAATACATAAGTGAACATCCTGTTTTAAGCCTTGTCTAAACCCAAACAAACGTTTTGATCAGGTAGTCTGTGCTGCTGATTCTGCATCAGTGTTTGAAATAAGCATGCTATTACTGCTCAGATATATGCGAGTAATAGGTACTATGAGTTACGTGCGGGGAAAGCACACCGGACAAACTAAAGCTAACTAAATAAACATTTAGTTTGAAAATTTGGAGTTGTGTGATTTCATGTTGTGTCTATCTTACCGGCTGATCCACAGGTCTGGGGCTCCCTGCTGGACCGCGGCTGTTTAGGGGAGACACGGTCGCTTTCTCCGCCGACAAGCGGTGTCTTGAGGCCGACAGCCTGAAACACATGCACCGATGAAAGAGCAGGTTAGATGGAAAGACATTACTGTTATCACTCATCCACCAATCACTCCACTAGCTAACGGTAACCAACTACCAAAACGCTGCACTGAAGACCATGATATCATGTATAACACATTTATAACATTAGCACATAGGTGTTTTTTATTGAGCTACACTGTGTGAGTAAAAGCGTTGAACTACAGATAAATATAACTATACTGACATAAAGGAGGTATCGCGTTTCAATAGCTTTGCGCTAGCACTGCTAGCAGACTAGCTGTGCGCTTAGCTTGGCAGCTAGCAAATTAGCCAACATCCCGCTGCTGGAAACAGCTTTTGTTTTTGTTTTCTTACCTTGTAGCATACGATGGCTAGGTGCAAAAACACCTCAGAAACATGGGAGTAAAATTGTGAAAACACCAAGCGGGGAGTGCGCCGTAAGAGCGGTGTCCCTACTGCCCGTCAGCGGGGCCTTTTTCTTCATCCATGGAAAAACACTGTGAAAGGCCTGGCTCTCCATCGGCCCGGGAGGGCTGCTTTTCATTTGCTAACAAAAACTATTTCCGCTGGCCTGGCCCGATATGTCCATTGTTCGCCGCCTCAGTCCTACTACAGCTCCCCCGGTTTACTGCTCGTCCTCTCCCAAACGGCGCCTTTGTTTTGTTTGCGTCGTGTTTTTCCGTCTTTTCTCCTCGGTTGGCTGTTTTCCGCCCCGTGTCAGATTTAGGTGTCCCCCCCTATGGACGACGGCTCCTCCGATGCTGCTAGCTTTAAAATGGTAGTTTCCTGTCTGCCTAATGGTTCCGGGTAGAGCCAGGCACAGGTTGCTCTGTCCGGCCGAGACCACTCTGCTGCTGCCCGCTCACATCCACCTCTGCCCTTCAGTTAGAAAAATATGGGTCCAATCCAGCATGATGCTCATGAATAAATAAAGCGTGTGTACGCTGTGTACGCTATGTCTGTGTGTGTGTGTGTGTGTGTGTGTGTGTGTGTGTGTGTGTGTGTGTGTGCGCGTGTGCGTGTGCGTGTGAATGCATGTATTGAGTCCAATACAAATATATCTCAATGAATTCTGATACTATGTCATTAGGCTGAGGCTCCTATGTGAAGTGTGTGTTTGTGTGTGTGTTTTCACACTAAATGTGTGTGAAATCTTAATGAGTCAATTAAAGATATCATTACGGCGCGTGCTGCATAACACTAGTGTGTGTGTGTGTGTGTGTGTGTGTGTGTGTGTGTGTGTGTGTGTGTGTGTGTGTGTGTGTATGGTGTGTGTGTGTGGTGTGTGTGTGTAAGTCATACATGTGCTGCTGGGCCTATCGTGCCTAATTTGCATTCAATTAAATGTATCATTATAGTACAGTATTTCTACGCTGGCGTGTGGGTGTGTAAGGATTTGTGCCTGGGCTGTTTAATGTGTGGTAAAATTGTGAAAACAAAATACATTTCCGTTTTGGCTGCACTTCTGAATGTGTGTTCCTGCATGTTTTTTTGCAAATGCAGGTGTATGAGTAATACACCTGGTGATTTTATTTATAATCCATGTAGGGAGAGTAATATAAAATGTTTTATCATAATCTATAGTTTTATTTGATCCATAAAACACTGCTTAAACCAGGTCTAATTAAGGCTCAATGGGACGGTTAAAAGCCATAAAAGTATTGATTGATTAATTGGATTTATTGTTTTGTGAATGTAAGGACTTTGTTATTCTCAACGTATCCCAAGTACATTAACAATCAATACAATCATACAATACATATTGAAATTCATATCATAAATATCTAAACTAATTATAAAGTATTTTTGATGTTGTGAGTCGGCAGCAGTGAATCTGAGCCCACCTTAATGTTTGTCTTCTGTAATGTCCTCCTTTCCTTAAGTTAACAACCCTAATGAGTTTAATAATTTGTGCCTAATTGGGGGGAGTGGTCGGTGGAGATGTGTTTTCCCCTGTGCAGCCTCAAATTGCTCCCTTGGGTCTAAACCATAGACTGTATATATAAAGGTCTAAACACAGGGAGGCTGAGCTGATTTCAGAAACACAATAGTTGGTATCACACACGCGTGCTTCCTTATTTTCACTCAGATTCCCATAAAACCACTGCTTGATTTTATTGTTTGATATTTTGAACATCAATGCTTTCTTTTTCTTTTATGTTACTTTGTGTCCAGACATGATTGAAAACCTTCAGTGTTCAATACAATTAAAAATAAACTGTGAATTAAAGTCTACATTTCCCAATCATTTTGGTTTATGTACCCAAAGTGTTGTATTGTACCAACACTATAATTAAATTAAAATAGAAAAATAAAATAAGAAATTAGACTTATACAGTGAGGTATGATTTTCTGTAACAATAAATAAACAAACAAATATTTATACAAATAATAGATAACAGCAGCTTTGCAAAACATGCTGTTACACTCTGAAATAGTGCTTTTATTATGTATTAAACAATTGATGATTTTCTCTAAAATGTCAAAAATAGCCTTAAAATACTTCCTTTGAACTTTAAAACCTCCAAATGTGTGCCTGAAAGCTAAAGAGGCACATTGCAGCAAATAAAACAGAAAACAAGGTTTAGTGGGATATTTTTTTATTGTTATTATCAATTAAACAGTATGGTTCCTACAAACTCAAGAATTGATCACCGTTAACAAAAGGGTTGCACATCTGTGAGACCTTTGTTTGGATATTCTTGGAAATAGACATATAAGGGTATGTAATAAATAAATGTATCATACAATTTGAGGTATGCAGAGTAGCTTTGAGAATACAAATATGCCCATGCCTCCCCCTCCCAGTGGTGAACACACTCACACACTCACAACTGTGCATACACACGTACAGGCACACGGTTTAATCATCAGGGGAGCAATTAACTAAACGTGGATAACAACATCTGAATCAGAAGGTATGAGGAAGGATGAGACATTAAAAATACAACTGAATGTCACGTGTCATTTACATTTCCCCCCCTTCTTTGCCTCTTTCTCTTTTAAAAGTTAATGAGATGTTTACGTTGTAAAAACCACAGGGCCTCTCCAGTCCTGTCAGCCAAACGGAATACATTCTCCCCCACGACCCACTTTATCAACAACTCTAACTCGCTCCTAATACTGTATTTCCAGCTCTTGTACCCCGAAAGTTCTGTTAAAATGAGCACAAATGAGCAGCTTGTTCATGGAAAACAAATCACTTTTTGCAGATACATATTTAGCAGCGACACAAACTCATCAGCCGAGTGACGGCCGTTTCACTTCTAATCAAATACCAAAAAACTTGACACAATATAGGCCTTCGATAATTTACAAACGTTTTAAAAGTCCTCGCTTTGGTGAACGTAGCTCGACAAGAAAAAAGCTGTGATTGATCAATGTCCCTTTTGTTTCTTCCTTTTAGCTAAATGACGACAGGCCTTTTTTCAAATTTCATCACAAGTTGATATGAACACGTAAACCCGGGTCTTTAAATCGTCCTCGTGAGCTGAAGACACGACCCGAACGTTTGGTCAAAAATGAGGTTCTGCATTCCTAAGAAGAAGAAGACACTGAGAGAGTTACACACACGGGCACACAAATTAAAACAGACGCATGTACATTTACACACATACACGCCGTGACATCATAAGTCAGCACTATGACATCATCAACACTGGCTTTTGACATCGTCATGCGGTTCGTCTTTTCTCTTTTTGATTGCATCAGCTCTTTTTGTTCTGGATAACACAAATGTTTTTTTTCTTCTTAATTCCACTAAGAAAGTTTGAATATTGAAAATCCAGGATTACGCATTGAAATTCACAGAAAAAAAAAGAAGAAAAAAATACATGTTCAAATAAATAAATGAAAGAAATCATGATAAGAGCGTTCGTCGTCTGATCAAGGGGGAATCCTTACATGTATGATCATAAACCATCAACATGAGCACGTGTGTCGTAGGAAAATACTTAAAAATGGCTGGCAAGAAGCGTCGCTCAGTAATCAATCATGTCTGTCTTTATCGAGGGGGAAGCTGAAAACCTTAGACAAGGCCTCATGAGTCCCTTAAAACCCGTAAAGGGGAGATCCAGCCTGGAAGGCAAGAAGGTCCGTCTCACAGCCAGAAAGAAAAAGTACAAAATATGACATCATGGCCAACATGTCCTCCCGCGACAGAAAAATGTAATCATGGTCGTGTGTTTTTTACATCGAGTTCATTTGCTTTACAGAAATACCTTGCATGTTTATATATTTTCTTTCTACACGGGAACAAAAAATAATGTGCACAAGCATGCCTGCCGACATGGACAAAATGGAAATGAGAAGCAGACACTGTAAAGAGCACAGACACACAAAGATAATTCGGTATAGCCCTTGGTGTGAAGTGTCCATTGTCCCGCTCCGAAACCCATCTGCCCCCCCCCCCCCTTCCCTTCATACGAGGAGAGCAGCTCAACTTGCAGGTGACATGTGGCGATCGAAGCCGGTCAGTGGCACAAAGAAACCCTTGAAACTCACAATGAGACGTTTTTAAACAGTGTTAGAGGGTCCGCCACAGTCTGCATGAGGATAGTCAATCTTTGAGAGCGGTCTTATTCCAAAACCGTTTTTTTTCATTTAAACTAATCGTTACGCAAAGGGTCACAGAACAATGTTTAATTGATGATATACACCCACTAGAATTCACTGTACAAAGTTAAGCTAAAACCATACTGCAGAGTGGATTTTACTTTGAAGGCCCGGCCATTCTATAAAGTGGTGCAGTAGCAATGTTAATCTGCATGTCTTAGTTAAAAAAACGTGGTGACATAGTGAACACTCGCAGGCCTAGTTGGTGAACTACAGTAGATAACGGGATAACAAGCTAACGAACACGCTAGCAAGCAGGGAGAACTAGAGCTAGCTTCCTTTTTTTCTGAGCTGGGTCAATTCAGTCAATTATTTGATTGAAGAGGGTAAAAAAAGGTTTCTGATATCGCCAGGTTTTTGCTAACGGCCAGCTTGTTAGCTCGGCCACAAACAGGACAATAAGGTCAAACATTTCTTTATGTTAATTTGAGCAATTTCGCCAAAATCATTTAATTTTGCCAATATATTTTGCTGTTTAAATGCTGCTGTGACCGGGCCTTGAATCAGTGTAGGTCTTTATTTTTTTTTTAATCCAAATGATTGGATTGTATGTAGGTTAAATAGAGCCATAAAGGCAGTCTAACTGTTCTTGGTTACATTTGTGTTGCAGAGAATGTTTTCCTTTAATGATAGTCCAATCACAACTAGGGAAGAAAGTTCACATAACCAGCCGAAAGGTTATAAACTGGCCTGCTAAAGGATTGACAAAACCAAGTATACACAAAGTCTTACATGGCTCAGTAACGTTAGTACTATTAATATCATCAGGTTCATTTCATACAAAAGCAACTTGTTTGGTTTTTAAATACTTTTCATAAATACAAAGGACAAGCAACCCGTCTGTCTCCGGCTCAGCGCTCTCCATCATCCGCGGTGGATTCAAAGACAGATGAATCTGTCGGAGCTCGAGGACTCGGAGGACAGTGCAATAAAACTCAAGGACAATTCAACAAATTTCACTCTGCTGGTATCCTTCAATAAAAGTCACAGCGAATACCCGGCAGCCTTTACGCTGCATTCAGGTGATATTTTTTGCTCTTTTTAGTCGACATTTCTGTCTTCCCTTTTCAAAAGAATGGCTGAATATTCTCTTTTTCAACACACAAGGTGACGAGGGTGAGATAATCAATTGGCTATACTCAGTGTGAGATTAGTGATGTCATCCACCACTTTTAGTTTTATGAAGGGAAAGGGGGGGGGGGCTATTTGTTCAGCCCCGTGAGGCAGCCAGCTGAGATCAAACCTCTTTCCTCCTGCTCATCTCTCCACTAAAAGCCTCTTCAGCTTCTTTTCAGCTTCACCTCTCTACTCTCATCTTCCTCTCTCTGCTCCTCCCTCTTCCTCTCACACTGTCACCTCGTTCTTACTCCCAGTCCGCAGTCCCTGCACTCCTCCGCCTCCGGGGATGTAGTGCAGCTGCTCGATGGTGTTCTGCCTCTTGTTGGCGAAGGCCATCCGCCGGGAGTTGGGGTGGCCACCTCCGCCCCCGCCGTGGGGGTCCCAGCCGCCGTGCATGCCCATCCCCGACATGGGGGCGGAGCTACGGTCACGGTCCCGGTCACGTTCCCGGTCCCGCTCGCGATCGTGGTCGTGGCCCGACGTGGGGTGGGAGTTCATCTTGATCATGTGGTGGCGCTCCATGGACGGCGTGACGCAGATGTTCTGCTGCGACTGGGCCTTGTGGCTGAGCCGGCCCATGGTGGGCACCATGCCGCTCCTCTCACCTCCCCCCCCGACCATCATGCCCATCATCAGCCGGTCCTCCAGACGGTCAGGTGACACCAGAAGCCTCTCGTGGGACCTGGAACAAAAAGCTCCTTCGTTTAAATGATGCTCACAAAATGCCTGGAATAACAGCTTCATTAGGCCTTCAATCCCCGGGGACAATTCAACATTATCATTTATTTATCTTCAACTGATCATTATTATGGTATGGTCTTTTATTTCTTAAAAACGCATTTTTCCTTAAATGATAATCCCGGACAAACGGTACAGTAAAAGCTAGATTCTGAAGTTCACACAATGATGCTAAAGCCTGTTGCCGCCAGTGAAGGCTCTCTTTATATCAGTACTAAAGAGTTGTGGCGTCTCACGGTGTTGCATTTCACGTTTCATTAGAAACAGCCAGAGCTAAAGGGGGAATGAAGATGGGGAGAGAATATAGCAAAGGGGCAGCAGCTATAGTAGGAATACAGTGGGGAAAATCCTAAGAAGCTTCTGGAATGGATGCTCCAGATAACAAAAGGAACTCAGAGGATGGATTTAAAGTCAGAAAAGAAAGCGATCGGCGAGGATTCGGGGAAAGGTGGGGGGAGAGGCGGCGAGAAGCCAATGCAACAGTCTTTGTATAATGACTATCCCCACCAGAAGAGGGAGACAAAGCTTTCACACTCCAGCTCTGAAGGTTTTTGTTTTACACATTGAAAGCTTCTACAGTATCTGATTTCTGATCAGTTGTTTAAAACACCGAACATAATTAACACTTTCATTGAAGAAGGGATTTCCTGTTGATGTTGGTGGTTTTTTGTTCTCAGGAGCAGGCAAAAGACAAACTTGGGTTTATATGTCTTAATATACTATATTCTGTTTTAATAATAAAACCTCTCTGCAATAGCAGGGTATCAGTGATGCATCCATCTGGTTGAAAAGCTACGGGTAATGAAAGTATGAGAACCTTGAGTCGAGAATGTTTTTAAATGTGTTCAAGGTCAAATCGTGAACTGAACAAACGTAAAACTTATTTGATAAAAAAAACTGATATGAGGTAAAATTGTGGTGTACCCTTACCATGTGAAATCCTAATGACATTTTTCAAACGTATAATGCACTGTGATCCTCCCTTATCTGACATCATTATGATGTCTTTCCATCTTCTTTTATTTTGTCCCTTTCTCTCGTTTGATCGGCCCTCTCCCTTATCTTACCTGCGGAGCGTCTGTGAGTTGGAGCCCCTGCTGCTGCTGCTGCTCATCATGGCTTTGTAGTACTGGTGCTGCTGGTTCTTGGAGAGGCGGGACAGCGTGTTGCCCTCCCCTAAAGCGAGCAGCTGGTCCTGGGAGCGGACGCGGCGCGGCGGCCTGTCGAAGGAGGAGCTGGTGTAGTGCGTCTGGGCGGGCAGCGGGTACGGGTTGGGGGTGGAGGCCGGGATGTGGAGGCGGGGCCGGGAGCCGTGGAGAGGCAGCGTGCCCCGAGAAGAACCCAGCGTATACTCGCCTCCGAAGGGCAGGTGGTGCTGCGAGGAGTAGAAGGAGGGCGGGCCGTTGTTGGAGCGACGCTTGGAGTTGTAGTAGCTCGAGTACTCGTCAAGTTCTTTCTCTGGATCAGCAAAAAATAAAGAAATGTAAATAGGACTGCAACCAAAGATGATTATTGATACAAAATTCAATTCAATGATTTTCTTTTTTTTTTTTAAATGTTTTATCCAATTAAATGTTGAATCTCTGCAAACTATTTCAGACGTATGGCTTTAGCGGAAAGTTGTGTTTAAAAATATGATGCATGACAAAGGTCTATGACCAAAGTGCATTTTCAGGATTTTCTTTCATCTGCGTTCCAGATATTCTTAAAATGCATCTTAAAATGTCATAATATTTAAGCTGGAACTAGGGCATATTTATCGTTTGTGAATAATCAAACTCATTTAATGCCAATGACGAAAGAATAAAATGTCAATATTTGATTTATATTCATGTTGTGTTCATGGAATTGTTGATGTTGACATTGAAATGTTTTTTCTGAGCTTAATCAAATGTAACCCTATACATCTACAAATCCATGACAAAGCTCTATCTGCTGATGAATATCCTCGGATATAATGTAGGATCAATGGAAAAAGAACAGAGGTAGAAAATAAATATCAATGAAAACAAAAGACGGATGAAGAAAGGTGAAAGAAGGGTAAAAAGTAAGTAAGTCATGCGAAAGACAATGAGATGTCAATGATGATGAATGTAAAAGAGAGCAAATGGAAAATCAATTGTGTGATGAGCGAGGAAGGTATAACACGCAGACAGAGAGGAGAGAAGAATACCAAAGAGAAAAGGATGAGGTGAAAGAGGTGTGAAAAAGATATGAAATTGAGGTGACTGAGTCAGAGGAGCACAGGAAGTGAAGACAGAAATGATAAGGGTGGATCATGCAAAAGGAGACTGTATATTGCATGAGGCATAAAAGAACAAAGGTAAAGGAGCCCGAGAAAAGACAGACGGTATAAAAAGGTAAGAAAAGTATGATGGGGAAGAGTGACATAAGTGACGTGATAACAAAGGAAAGGACACAAAGTAAAGAGAGAAGACAGACACGTTGCTGAGCTTCATTAATAGTGAAATACAGTCTCTGTGCTTTCTGCTCTTTAGCCTGAGATCGCTTTCATCTTCAAAGCATTTCCATGGAAGCAGCTCCCCAAGAGCCAATCTAAACCTGACCTTTCACCAGCCACCTCTGTCCCTCTTCCTCCCCTTGTCTTTCTCTCTCCCTCCTTTTCTCTCTCCTTCTGTTTCTTCCTTTGTCCTTTCCACTTCTTTGGTTTCCTTCATTTTCAACTCTGTTTCTCCTTTCTTCCATGGCTCTGGAAGTGTACCCTTCTCTTACTGTTTGTTTCATGTCCTCTCCCTCTCGGTGTGTACTCTCCTCCTATAAGGCAATATTATCTCGAGGCTTCTCCCTCGCTGCCAATGGCAGACAAAGAAGCCTTTATCAGTGTGCTCTGTGTGGGGAACTACAGCAGAAAGGAGCAGGTTTCATAGAATGCCTGGCAAGAGCCGGTGCTCTTTGTATCACAATGACAACATTTCAGTTTGAAGAGGAGTTCCACCGATGCTGACGTACAGGATGTTTTTCTGAACAAGCACATGTAAACAGTTCTGCTTTGCTTTCACCGTCACTGATTGATTCAGGGCAACAGGGATTCAGAACAATCTGGTTTACAGTTTTCCATTGAAGCAATCAGTGTTTGGTAGCTCTACTCTGAAATAAAATGACGTCCTCCTATGTTCGCTTGTTTTATCCAACTAGCAGTCTGACATGCAACGTATTTTGTCTGTTCTGAACTGCCCTAATGAAAACCCTACAGTCACAGGTGAGACGCGATAATTGTTAAATGGCTATATAACGGTGCACATATAGAATTATTCTCATGTTTACGGTGTTAAAAGAATGTTGGTACCGAGTCGAAACCTCAAGGTCTGTAAAGTGATAGAAATGCACTTTAACTACGCTGCTGGACTTTGCACTAGTGTACATATTCTTACTATAATATGATTCATCATTAATCACTTTGCATTCTCTACTGTTCACTAGTCTTACCATATCTGACTTACTGTGCTGAAATCTGGGGCAATAACTACAAAAGTTCTATACATGCAGTATCTATTCTACAAAAAAAAGCCATACGAATCATTCACAATGCCAAATATCTTGATCGCACTAACGAATTATTCCTGCAGTCAAAATTGTTAAAATGTACAGACCTGGTAGAATTCCAAACGGCACAAATCATGTTTAAGGCAAATAATAATGTTTTACCAGGAAACATCCAAAAAGTATTCACTCAACGAGTGGGGGGGATATAGTTCAAGGAGACAATTTCAATTCGAAATTCATAGGGTCCGTACAACCAGAAGAACTTTTTGTATCTCAGCCTGTGGAGTGAGACTATGGAACAGTGTGAATGTGGAGCTAAAGCCATGTCCAGACATTCACCAGTTCAAGAGGAAATACAGAGAAATTAGAGGTACAGGGATGGGGAAGGTGTTTGACTATATGTATGTGTATGTGTATATGTGTGTATGTGTGAGTATGTAGGTGTGTATATGTATATGTGCATATATGTATATATGTGTATGTATGTATGTATGTATGTATGTATGTGTGTATGTAAATCAACAGGTAAAGCAGATTAATAATAATAATAATAATAATTAATAATAATGATAATTATTGCAGATTATAAATAAATCATTTAGGGACAAGGGGGTGAGATTAAATAAGTTATACTTCTTCTCACTCCTTTTCGAACACTAGATGTGGGACTGTTTATGTTGCTAATGCTGTTGTTGTAAATGTCATTTTTTGTTTTGATTTCTCTTACATGACTATGCACTGCAACATTTGTTTTGTTTTGTAATTATTTATTTTACTGGTTCGAAATAAAACAAATGTATAAAAAAAAGAAAAGAAGAAATGTATCAATCTTCATCCGTTTACAAGTCACTGTTATTTTGTACATAATGACTGTTGTGCCTTTATGTATTTGTTCCTTATTGTTGGCTTTTAAAGTGGGAATTTGTATGTGTCTATGTTTGATTATGTAGGTATGTTTAGATATTTTAACTTGTATTCTTCTGGATTGGGAGAAATAGCATTTCGATCTCCCTCTCTGTATCTTACACACAGAAGATTACTTTGGACTTTGAGAAGTGCATCAGAAGTAAAAAATGAAAAAAAAGTTTTTTTTTAATTTTTTATTAATTTTTTTAAATTTTAATTTTTTTTCTTTGGATGGAATGAATACATATGTGACCTGCTCTATCGAAATCAGTCGCATTGACCCGAAGACACATTTTGAGTTGTATACACTGTTGGAAAGAGGAGATTCCTAGCTTTCTAATGATATCAGGATTGTTTTGTACTCCAAATATTAAGCAAAATATGTCACATTATATAATGACTGTCACAGAGTCATCATTTTGAGAAAAAGGCCTTCAAAGTTTCCTCTTCTCTGGAATCCATCAATCTGATTGATTATTAGCGGAGCAAATGATCAAAATAGTCCGGAGGGAAAATATTTCCGTTTGGATTACTGGTCTGGGGGAAGCTCGCGAGTGTGTGAGTGTGTGTGTGTGTATGTGTGTGTGTTTGTGTATTTTTGCGTTTGTGTGTATTGTGTTTGTTTCCCGGGGAAAACACTCACGAGAAACACCGGCTGTTGTTATGCTTGCCGTGACGTTAAGTTACTCCGTTCTCCGCTTGTAAATATGCCGCTACAAGCTTCATAGTTGTATTTATCATCTAAATTTGCCGAAACAAGTTTAATATTCTGAAAGCCAAGACTTTGTTTAATTGAAATCAGATGAAAACAAACTGTGACCCTGCCGTGTTATCTATGATTACTTATGCCTTACATTCATAATTTCAGCCGGAGGGAGGGGGGGCTGCGCTATGGAACAGCAGATTGCGATTGAGAGGTGCCTGTCATCTTCTCTTTACAAGCTTCACAAATGTATTTATCGTGTGATTTTGGAAATAAAAGTTTCATATTCTGAAAGCCAAGACTTTGTTTATTTAAAATCAAACAAAACACCCGAACCCCGAAAAAATAGTTTTTTACGCAAATCCACGTTTATTATGAAATGAGCCGTTGCGACATCCGACTGATTTCGATAGAGCGGGTCACATATGGTGATAATTCAATGTAATACATCATTTTTATAGTCTGGTACCTGAAAAAGGTCAAATGGCACTGATGGAACCAGATGTACCCAAATGTGCCGAAAGCTTATTCCGCCTGGAACTTTTTTTTGCTAAACCTCTCTAAAAAGGTCAAATTTAACTTGTTTTGCCTCAATCTTGATACAGGGTACTTATTATATGTTATAGTTTGGATTCCTAAAGCTTTTAGTCTACCATCCCATCATTCAAGGGTGGTTTTCACTATGAGTAATGTTTTTTCTTTAGGCGGAGGTAAGAATTTACCTTTTTTTACTATGTTCCATCTGAATTTACTCTGACTGAGAAAAATCTATATTGATTCTGACACTTCTACATCCAACTCACAGATGTAACCTTGCTTTGATAAAAGAAATTATTCATATAACCCTTTTAGAAGTGAAGTTGTAGTCATTTGTTTTGGGCATGTCATTTTCGAGCCTGAAACCTGAAAAACAGGCTCGGGGCTTAACAGGTTAAACGTGCAGGCTGCAATGAGAAATCAGTTTGTATAGAAGTCTAAAAATGAACCGTACTATTGACCTGATTTAATATCCCTAGTTTCAAGTCTTTTTCAATACAGCATTATGTTTATTTTGTAAATCCCATTTAGAGTAAAAAAGACTATAAAAGCAGGGTGTTTTTTAGGGCGGGGCTACCTTGCAATTGACACAACGTTGCCTCTGACCTTTTGACGTGCAACCAATCAGATGACAGCTACATGAAGCTGCGCAAGCTAGCAGAGAACCATAGAAACTAAACTTAAGTCGCTCTTTCCACGTCAAGGCTCTGCGTCCAACCTTGCAGTGAGCAAAGAGAAAACAGAGTACCCTGAATGCATCTTAATAGTAAGTGCACTAGGACAATAATACAATTCCTGTTGATGTACTGACCCCCCACAACCATCTTAAATATATAAGACTGACTTCTAACTATCAAGGAAAAGGCAGTATGCAATCTGGCTTCTTCCCCTTAAAAAGAAGGAGAGATGTCAGAAAAACAGAAAATGGAAAAAACAAGGAGATGAATGAAAGAAAGAGCATCTGTTTCCATGTTCTGCAAAACAAAAAATCATGACGTAGTCGGAGATGATCTGAACAATAAAAAGCTGCAGGACAGCTGCGATGAATGCGACAGAGATGCAGTTTCACTAAGAGACGATGAAGGAAGCGGAGTGACCTCTCAAGGTCTGATGTGTAACGAGCAGAAGCCTTTGCCGCACAGCTTCCGGTGGTTTCTCTCTTTGATTGAATGGAAATAATAAAAAAAGACTCATCTGGACTTTCACCTCATTATTGCTTCCACTACCTCGCATAGCTACATCGCGTGCAGACACACACACACACACACACACACACACACACACGCCACCCCCCCCCCGTAGTAACCATCCATCACTCAGCCTGCAGAGGCGACTCCCCTCCCCCTGCAGTCTCCAGCCATCGCAGGGCGAGAGAGGTAAAGACAGACGCTGCCTCTCAAACGTCGCTTTCTCCCCTTCGCATTCGCCAAGCCCCTGCAGACCGGCAGCCAACGCCCCTCCCCCTATCTCCACATCTCACTCCAATCCTTCCTTCTTTCTCCTCTGCTTGTCTCTCCATTCTTCTCCTTCTGCTCAGTCGACCTCTCTGCATCTCTATCTTCACAAATCTCTTTTTTCCCCATTTCTTCCTGCTGTGTCCTTATTTGGCCAATCAGCTCCTTCACTGCCTCTCTGGTCCTTTCTCTTCTGGTCAACCAACCATTTCTCCTCTTTACCCCTTTGTTTCCATTTCCCCAATGCCTCTTTCCTCTGCCCCTCCCTTCCTCCTCTCTCTCTATCCATTTTCCTCTCCTAATTCTCTCAGTCTGCTCCAATCCTTCTATTCATTCCTGTCTTTCTGTTACACTTTGCTTTCCTGCAATGACTACTTGGCAGAAACAGCGTACACATTTGGATTACACCGAGATGAATATTGCAGGGATTGTGTGGGTTTTCTGCACCTGAGAAAGCAGATGTCCTTTCGTAACCTTACGTTATGTGAAAGTAACTAACCCGGCCACAGAAAGAGGAATACCTGGTCGGAATAGCTTGAGAATAACCTGCTCATTGTTAAGTAGCAGATGTGTTTACCAGGCATGCAGGGCCTAATGAAGGTGATATCAGGTTGCATTATGGGAAGTGTACGATATAGTGATTGTGGAGCCTGACCCTTACATGGGATTACAAGTCATATCTCATCTTCTGATGTTTAAAATGTGTTCATGTGGAAGTACAACACCAGATATCTTGTGTACACCTTAAAAGAAACACTCCAGAGAACATCCATCTCTGTTATCAATAATGGATTCCTATCAAGAAGAAACCTTTTCCTTGGCAAAAGGAAATATATGACTAACATCCCCTGCTCATTGCTCTGGATCTCTACCAGAAAAAGCATGTTTATGTCTATGTTTTACACGGTGCAGATTGTTCAATCACAGTCCTGAGCCCCCCCCCTAGGCTCACCCAGCCTCTTCAGCGAGCTGTAGCGGCTGATCTCGGGTTTCATGGCGGCCTCATAGGACGGCGGCAGCTGGGCGAGGTTGTGGAAGGAGTGGGAGAAGGACGGGTGGCTGCTGTTGTGCCTCATGCTCCCTCCCATGCTGCTGCCGCCCCTGTCGGGACCTTTACCACTACCTGACAGCAGGGAGGGTCCGGAGGAGAGCTGGGAGGTGTTGTTCATACGGGCCCCACGCTCTGGACGGAGGGGAAGGACAATGAGGAGGAGAGGGGAAGTCAAAAGGAAAAGGAAGCAAGAGATTGGAGATCAGGAGAGGAAAAGAAAAAGGAGCAGAAAAAGGGAAAATAGAGGAGGTTAGGATAAAAGGGACACAAAGGAAAGAGGAAGAGAAAATACAAAGAAATAGAAAGAAGGAAATTCATATAAAAGGAGTAGAAATGGACAAAAGCAGAAGAAAGAGAAAAAAATATACGAGCTGTGATCAGTAAACACAGGAAGACTCTCGGAGCTCCATGGCGACCATCTATAAATAATAACTCTGTACTGTTCATCTGAGGCTCCAACACAAACATATCAGCAACATGTAAATACATTAAATACAGTGAGAGCGCCAGGGGAGAATCTACATACACACATTCACATTTATGCAAAGTGCAAAAGCAGCACATGGATCGATACACATACAAATGATTTGTCTTATGTAAGATTGGCAGAATGCGGGAGGGGGGGGGGCAGGGGGGGGGCGTCTGTTTTGCAACACGTATATCAGTTACCTCATACGAGTACATACATATCTTCCCAAACAGACAGCACTTTAATGACCCAACATGTAGGAGCACGCACAGTGACCTCACATGTGTAGGTGCTGCACATTAAAAAGGGAACAATGAGCTAAAGGGAACATGTGAAGCCCACAAAAACATGCTGCCCATTGTTGGATCATCTTCAACCACTGAAGAGATTTACACAAAGAGAACAGGAGGAGCTTATTAACGGCTGGGTGACAGCAGCTGATATAAAGAAAAAAGTTTCAAAATGTGATAATATAAAAAGCAGCAATAAAAGATTACGCAACTCAGAAAAAAAAGTTTTAAAATGTGATAATATAAAGCAGCAATAAAAAGGTTGCGTAACTCTGGAAAATTGCCCATTTGCTGTTGTTTCCTGCCTTTGAGATACAATCAATGTCCAGTCCATTCAGGGTGGTAATGGTTATGAGCTGCGATCTTGTTAAGATTACTGCAGGACATATACTGCTCATTGACCATTGACAGTAATGGCCAATAACGGCCAATAATGTCCGTGTTAAGCGTCACCCAGGGAACACACACCACATTGACTTCTGTACCGTGAATGTTACACACACGGTGGGGAGGAAAAGCAATGCTAGCTGTGAGATCATACGCTTTAGATATTGTGAAGCAAAGAAAAGCATAAACTGTTGAGCTAAATGTGCTTTTTGTGTGTCATGATACGGAATTAGCCTGGTTGTTTCCAAGAGTGCCAGGTAATTGTTTTTTTTTTTTTGTTTTTTTTGGAACACCTACGTTTGGCTGGCAGCGAGGTTTGATAATGGTGTCATGGAAAGATGAACTCCTCTCAATGTGCTGCACAGTATCTGACTCAGAGAGAAGAAGCTCTTGTGTCCTCCCAGGAGGCTGTTAACATTATCTAACACAGGAAGAGACACTAAAAAAAAAAAAGCAAGGACCAGTAATGGATTGAAGGTCTATGATCTAACATTTAAAACTAAAAATATCAAGAATGAATTGGAGAATGAGTGAACTAGAACGGCCCTGTTTATGGACACAACAAAGAGTGACGTTTCTTTTAGAAAACCAACAATAGAGTTTAAACAACCTTGTTTATGAATTGTATACATTGTAGGAGTGAGTTATAAGGAAGTCTTTGTCAAAATCGTAATATAGCCTCCTAATATCTCTAATTGTAGCGGGGGCAATATTCGGTATGGGCGAAATGCAGATTATTTATTTCAGTAAAAGTAGAAATACTATAGTGTAAAAATACTCAGTTACAAGTAAAAAAGTATTAGCATTCATTTAATAATTTAAGTACCAAAAGTTAAAGTACTCGTTATGCAACATTTCAAGCACCAGATAGTTTTAATTATTTCAATAACTTCATACACTACTGAGTTGCTTACCCTATAAAAATACATTATACTGTGTGTTGAATTTTATTTTGTATTAAAAAACGAAATCTGCAAATAGACTAGTTCGTAAATATGTCAAATAAATGTAGTAGAGTAAAAGTATCATAAAGTAGTATCATAAAGTAGCATAATGTGAAAATACTCAAGTCAAATTCGATAACTTCAATTTTGTACTGAAGTAGAGCACTGAGTAAATGTGCTTGATAACATTACACCACTGGCGAAATGTGATAGAGCCTTGGTGACTTTCTCGCTACATTTAGCAACTTTTAAAACCATCTCGGCATTGCCAACACATCAGGGCTTATTCAGAGCATCAGGGAAAAAGTGGTAAATATATTCTTCCAGTATATTACTTTGTAATTCTTGTTCAGTAGGTTTAAAGCCAATATAATATTATACACTTATATTTCATTGTGTACGGATACTGATTTATTATAAGTTTGGTTTGAATGAATAGCCAGTTTAAGAAAGATAATCAATAGCTGAATCATTTATGTAAGAAATACTTTAGAGTTTGTTTATATGTATTATTATATAAGAGATAGTAACCATTAGCAACTGAAGGATATAAAACACACTAAAAGCACAGTTTAAACTTAGCTTTTACTTATCTGTATAGTTGGTTATATTCTTTACTGTTGCCTACTCGTGTAATTCATCCCTTGAGGGACGCATGTAGGTGTAATGGTTTGGAATAATTGGCACGGAAACAACTTTAAAAATTCAGTGCAAAATCATATTTCCACGGCAACCTTATCCAGTGTTCAGGGGCAGCCATGAAAAATGCATCAGATTAGCCTTCACAAACAATGACTTGTGTTTATTTTCTGAGTACAACCACGACATCCTTCTTTCGGGAGATAAATCACTCGTGCTAGCATTGCTTTTTTGTTTTCTTGGTGCAAAGCCTGGGAAAACAGACTCAGGTAAAGTGCAGTGGCCTTGCTTAAGCCATGACCTCTGGAGAAATGCAGTGTCAGCTTAAAGCACGGTCGCATCACTGCTACACAGGAGAAGGAGTTGAAGAAGGAGAAAAGGAAGAAAAGGAAAAAGAACAAGAAGTAGCAAAAGAAGTAGAAGAAGAAGAAGAGGCGAAGTCCCTCCCCTTCTGGAGTTTTTGACCCTGCTTAAACGATGTCATGAATTACAAATATGTTTGTCCAAATAAAATATATTTTGCTAGTAAAGAAATTAGCAGTTTGTTGGCGATTACTTTCTCAGTGCCTGTGTGTTTTGTAACAGGGTGTAATCACATCAGCAACAGGTCTTGCTCATTCTTTTGCATACCAGCTGATACACAACACCAAGAGTCCATAGATAAAACACTATGGTATAATAGTATTTACTGATTTATGTTATCAGTTAAACAGTTCAAAGAAAACAATTAAGATGTCAAAGTTGAATAAAAGGCGAATAGCCTGAGCCAGAGTCGTTGCTAACTTCAGGGCTAGCAAAAGCTGGTGCGAAAACCTTCCTAAAGAGAGAAAGTTACGACGTAAAACTTTTGAGAGTGTAGTCCTTATCAAGAATTTTCAGTCTTATACTTCAACAAGAAAATGAAACCTTTCTTGAAGTGAAAAACACATATAAATGGACAAACTATGTGTGACTCATTGCACAATTCAAGCAGGATCACAAAACTATTGTTTCGTGCTGTAAACTAACTTTCTGAAATCAGGGATACATCAGAAGGGGGGGGACTCCGCCTCTCTATTTGGAAGCAGACTCTTGGTGGTAAGTGGGTCGTGGTGGAGGGGGGGGGGGCAGGCTTGCATTAAGCAGAGAGCAGGCCAGACAACTTTGAGCTCACACTCTGGTGAAAGATGTGTCACGTTCAACACAACCACACGTATATGTTTGAAAAGCGGTGTTGAGAGTGGCACAGCTGTTTTTTAAGAGTGCGGGACAACAGGCCGTCATAGCAACAACAAGACAGACAGACAGTGTGGCAGTGAAGCCGTGGAGAGGGGGGGCGGGGGGGGGGGGGCAGCTCGTCGCCGCCCGTGCTTCTGACCACGAGGCTTACCGATGGTGGCCGTGTGTTTGGGGCTGGAGGCAGACCCCTGCTGGTTAAAATGGTGGTGCAAGTTCCCAGCTGCAAAGAGAGAGAGCCAACAAACTGATGGACAACCAAACCACTCCTGAGACACAGAGCCGTGTGTCGAGTAAGCACATGTGTCAGTAGAGAGAGAGAGGACAGAGAGGGACAGAAAGAGAGAGACAGACAGTCCCTCCAGGGATGGATCTTTTTATGGTCGTACTTTATTGACACAAATCCGCAGTGAACTCAATCAAACTGTGGATCAGCATGTCTATTCATATCTTCAGCAACTCCAGAGAGGCAGGAGACAAAAGGCAAGGTTATATTCTACAAATGCTCAATGGGTTGATCTGACTATATTTTTGTTTGCAAAAAACAAAACCTACAATCAAGTATTATGTGTGAAAATGCAGGTTTTTAATATGCTAATGTTAAAGTAAATCCATAAAAGATTTTTTTATAAAATATGGACTTTGTTTAAACTATGTGTCCAGCGTCTTTGATAAGTAATAAGAGAAGTTGTAAAAAGAAAAATAATAGCATATCTTTATTTACACCACATTTTCCTTGATATGAATTTCTCATTATTAAAACCTTAAAAAAAATCCCCAAAATACAACTCAGCAGATCCTGGAGAGACTGAGAGAGCTTGTGTTGAGAGAGGCGAGAGACAGTGGCAGCAGTAAAGAGAGAAATGTGTTTGGACTGTCATTGTGCGACTTTTTACAATACAAGAAAGCAAACGCGTTCACCAACACTGATTTTCATCACTCGTCTTTGTCTCATCAGAAACGACACAAAGCTGTGGGCAGCCTGAGGTGCACATGGATCACAGAATGAAAAAGAATGTCCACTGACAGAGCCATCATTACCTCAGTGAGAAGTGCCCACACTGTTTTACAGTAAATATCACTTGATTAAGCTGAGAAAATATAAATACTGTGAGAAAGACAGGAAAGCCCACACATCAGAAAATGTTAAGCATTTAAATGCATAAAACGTTTTGGACACAAACATTTTTCACTGTTAAACAAAGTCAGTGAATATATGTAAGGCCCTCGGGGTCATCTTTTAAACTAGATCAGCTAAACATCCAGTTTTGCAGTTTTTTTACCCCCAAACACAAATGAGGAGAGTTTCTTTGAATTTAAAGGGGCCCTATTATGCTCATATTCAGGTTCATATTAGTATAGTGTGCCTCTAGTGTGACATGTCTCCATGCTTTAATGTTCAAAAAGCTCTTTATTTTCTCATACTGCCTGTGCTGCAGCACCTCTTTTCACCCTCTGTCTGAAACCAGAGCCCAGTCTGCTCTGATTGGTTAGGCAGGGAGAGAAACTCCCTCTGGAGGAAACACAACCTTTGCAGACCATTGACATGCACAAAAACCTATATAATACACTACAGGAAAGTGTTAACCCCAAAAAGCATTATAGTGCCTCTTTGACGGTGTAATTCGTAACATTGTAGGTAAAAAAAAAGGGGGGTAATATCTACAATATAAGGTATTAAAAGTAATCATTTCTGCAAGAGGATGTACTAATTTGTGTTATTGTTGAGACAAAGTCTAAACTTCATCTTTTCATTTCTCTTAATAGCTGCGTCTGGCATCTCCTCAGTCACAACAAACGAATTCCACTGAGATTGAGGCTTGAATAAAAGCAATTACCATCTATGTCCCTTGGGACCTGGCACTGTTCATTTCATCTGAAAATGATGACTAATGTGTGTAATTAATCAGATTTATTTTACTTTTAGCCATCCTTGTTTCAAATTAAGTTGGTGGGACTTACTGCGGTTGTCTTTGCCCTGCAGGATGGGGGTGTAGAGGTTTTTAGACGTCCGTCCGTCTAAGTTGGTGGTCAACCCCGTGGAGTTGTTCCTCTCTCCCTGCTGCACCGGGCTCGACTGGTGACGCAAGATGTCCACCAGAGATCTGCCACAGGAAGAATGATCAGATGAAGAAAGGAGAGGGCAAAGAGGAGGACGAAACATGATAAAGTGACACTGAAATACAGTTTGTAATCAGTATAGAAATATGCAAAGTATTGTTTCATATTCTATCCTTTTTCTAAATACTTTTATCTTTCTTAGTCCTGAGTTACAGAGTGGTACAGGAATGAGTCCTAAACCCGCAAATAAGCATTGCATTGAAGCATTCTGGGCTACGTTGTCAAGGATATTATAATTGTGGTTTTGGTTAATACAAGCTTAAGAGATTTGAATGTTTTGTCTATAAAATACCCAAGTAAATACCCATCTGGTAAACCTATACGCGTTTTAAAAATGGTGGTTGCTAACAAGTGACTAAATGAGACTTCTAAACATCATGACGTCATCATAAGGCGCTTTCACACCGCAGTACTTTTCCCACAAAGGTTCATCAGAACTTAGTTCATGAGTGTCACTACCCGATCTGCACCACTGCCCGATCTGCACTGCGCATGTGCGAGATGGTCTGCCATATTTGACAACTACATACGGCAACTCTAATAGGACACTTGACACAGTGGCGTTTGGCAAAGCAGAAAAAGAACACTCAAAAAACCCAACAATATTAATCTGAACGAGAGAGATGAGTTATTGTTATTACAACGTGACTTCACTATTATTTAACAACTCCTTTTATTGGGTCATTTTATTGGGTTAAGTACATTGTCAGAATAAGTGAGAAATGGATTTAACTTCTGTTAGACAGCTATCATACATACTGAAGAAATATTGACTGAATGTATGCAATATGTATGGCATTCATCATTTATATCTAATTACATTAACTGTGAATGTCCTTCATTTTATTCCAAATAAAATAAAAAAAGATTTTTGTATAGATATTTGAGACTTATGACTCGCGCATGCACGATGCAAATCGGGCAGTCGTTTAGACGTCAAATGTCCCATTAGAGTTGCCGTATGGAGTTGTCCAATATGGCGGACCATCTCGCACATGCGCAGTGCAGATCGGGCAGGGGTGCAAGATCGGTTAAGGCTAGAAAGGATCCGTCTTGAGTAAAACTCTCGCGAGAGTTTGCAAGTCACGTGGCTGAATGTTTACGTTTGGCAGGCAGCCTTTCAGTTACGATCGTTAACATCAGTGGGCCACAGCAAATGATGGTGAGAAGCTAAACTATCTATTAATTGTGTCAATTACAGGGAATGTGATTGTTGAAATAGGGTGTTAGCGGTCTTGCTGTTCAAAGAAGAATGACAACACTGTAGATCACCAACACTATGGTTTATTTTTTATTCACAGGCAAGTCAACGTTGTCGAAGTAAAAGTCCCAAGATAGCTCCTGGTGCAATAAAATGTTCCCTTTCAGTGTTTTACTATTATGTCTGATGTTTCTCTATTAATATCGCTGCTGCATTAATGTGTATGTTGCATGCTACTGCTGTAGATGTGTTTCTGAGCCGCTCCGATTACAACGAGAGTTACAACGAGAACGTGACGTCATATTTACACAAGACGGATCCTTTCTAGCCTATAGTAGAAGCTGCTGGGACTCCCAGCAGCTTCTACTGAAGCCTTCCGAGTAAATCGCCAGAACGCCGACACCTCCTCATCTCCACCGCTCCCATGTGTTATTTTGTGTTGCCATAAGTTAGTCTCTCTGCGTTTGTGCGCTGGGCTAATGCTAATGCTAATAATGCTAATGCGAGGATAATAAAATGGCAGCTTCACAAAACGTTTTGGGAGTTTTACGGGGCGTGGTTTGCATTACGTGGTTATAAAAAGGTTCTCATGAACTAATTTTAGTTCCGGATTATTTTGGTGTGAACGCAACATTTCAGAACTATATCGGAACTAAAGTGGGAAAAGTACTGCGGTGTAAACGCGCCTATTAGCTGCTTTTAGTTTAGCGGTAGTGATGTGAAGTCATGTGACAGTCAGGCAGTTTGTTTTTAGCATTATGTTAGTTACTTAGTTCAGTCGATTGCATTTACGATTCAACTATTATAAAAGTGTTATTAATCTGTGGAGACTATCTTGCTGAACAAAACGTGTCAGTATCATCAAACATATTCCAAAATCCAATGGAATAATCCCATAGCTTTTTGTCAAGGGAGCCCTTCGAAGCCAACTTGCAGGTTGGCTTACACAAATACTTAATCACTGCACCACTCTAATGAAACTGTACTGCCTATTCAAATGAACAAACTGAGGGTAAACCGCACTCTTTGCTAAAACTCCTGTTCTCTTTTTACCCAGCACACGTGTCCTGTGCTCTCACCTGGGCATGTTGATGTCTCTGTTGCGGGGTCGCCGTGCCACCTTGCTGAAGGCGATCCGGACGCCCACGGCCACCACCAGCGTGAAGGAGATCACACCTCCAATCACATACGCCGTACTGCAGTCAGAGGAAAATCACAAATTAGGCCCACTAAGAATAAGAGAAAGGGAAATAAAAACATCATCCATCTACCTCTATTAAAGGTCCCATGTCATGGCCATTTCTACTGATCATAATTCCATTGTTGAGGTCTACTAGAATAGATTTACACTCTTCAATGTTCCAAAATCACATTGGTTTCTCATACAGCATCTCTGTATAGTATGTGTATTCACTCTCTGTCCTAAACGGTTTGTTGGAGCTCCTGCCCCCCCCCCCCCTCCCTATGAGCCCACTGTGCTCGGATGTGTGTTTATGTGTTACAATGGCATTTGATAGCAACCAGAAAATGACACCAGTAATGACAAACAGATGAGAATGCTGCGTGGGGTCTGGGTGCCGTGTTGGTGGGACGTTGCGGGGCTCGCTGCTCCGCCCTTTGAGTCTCGAGGAGCGGACAGTGTGAGCTGGATTACTGGTGTCCTTTCCTGGTTGCAGCGTGGAGACTGCGAGACAGCACACACACACACACTCACAGCCTGAGCTCCGAGTGTGTGTGTATACGGAGCTCCGCGCAGCACCGCGGCTGAGAAAAGATAAGGCTGAGTGTGTGTGTGTGTGTGTGTGTGTGTGTGTGGAGCCCCACGGATTGGTCCATTTGGACTTCGTTACGTCAATAGGACCCGGAAGGAAAAAATGGAAAAAGAGAAATCTCCAACGAGGCGTTCTGGGGCAGCATAGACAGGTCTTTTCTGTGTTAGAGTTTTACTCGCTACAGGGTGTACTTTGAGGGTTTGTGACTTTGCACACCGTTTACATGCAGAAAAAGCTACATAACACACAAGGGGACGGGTAATAACCGGAAAAGCATGACATGGGAGCTTTAAAACGGTAATTATTTGAGTATTGTATTAGACTGTGACCTGCTGTTCTGCTGCTGCAGCGTCTCAAAGTCCGGGTCTCGCTTGGTGTCGGAGTTCACGGTGGCGGTCACCTGCGGCTCGGCCCACGGCGGGGCCTTGTAGTTGTTGCAGGACCCCTGGTCCAGCCGGCTCCTCTGGTGCTCGCAGCAGAAGCGGTAGTGGCAGGTCCCGCAGCAGTAGATGTAGCTGCCCTTGGAGCAGTTGAAGTTCTTGTCAAAGTGCCCCATCACGTCGTAGTAACCCCTGTGGAACAAAAATCGAGATTAACAAAGACATTTCATGGGGATCTTCCATTTAAAGTGATGTTTAAAACTCAGTTAATGGGGCTCATTTTTATTTTGCTTCAGTTTATAATCGTAACGGATCGAAAAGTTCAGATTAATTTTTCAATACATGATGCGCTTCCACAAACAACAACCAACATAATTATTACATTAAAATGAAGTACATTATTCAAGTTTACATTAACTTTGGAGAATAACACGGGAGAAATGAGCGGAAGCGCTCTCTTTTCCTCTCCCCCTCTCTCTCTCTCCTGACAGCCTGTCAGTATCTCATGCAGCTCACTGATCCAGTAATGAGTGACCCGACAGTGAAGAATAAATATATTTATAACTAGTTTAGCTTGTTCCAGAGGTAGATAAAATAGCTAAGTGTGTTAGGTCTAACTCTTAGTGTGTGTTCTGTTCCGCTCACCGGTCCGTCACAGCGGGTGGAGCTGCAGGATTTCTGCTTCACACACGTTGCATACCGCTATTGTATTGTCTTTTTCGGACACTTTAAATACTGCCAGACTGGTGAAGCCATTTTGGCGAGCTTGTTTTGCCGCGCACAGAGAAAAGTGTCATGTATTTTACGTCATGTGATCGGCTCTCCGATCAATTGGCCGAGAGTGAATATCGACCGATAACAATCGGCGGCCGATCGATCGGAGCATCCCTAGTTTCAATGTCCTGGACACATGGGAGAAATGTAAACATTATTATTAAATATCCTCTGTGTTTAATATTAAACTACTGAAATTAAGGGTACATAAAGTATATCATCTTCAAAATATAATATATTGACTGATGTATATATTTAGACATTTTAATATGTTGGACCTCAGCAGAATTTTCAGTTCAAAGTGATGGAACGATATAGGATTTTGTCATCAATTGAGCTGAATATACAAATAAATGTACCATGATCAATTTCCATTAACGGGATAATCTTGTGTATCATTTCATGAGAGACTTGAGTCTTTAACGTCCTAGTGAGGTGTTTTCTGAGAGTAGTTTGCAGCATTAAAGTTTTAATTTACGTAAAACAAATTGCTAGAAAATGTAGTCTGTTATTATTTAACGCTGTATTTGCAGTAATACATTACGAGCTCTCACAGACGTTGGATGTAATCTGACTTGAGATTGGCTAACTGTTGTGAAATCAAAACTAATGTTTTATTAAAAATCAAATCAAACATGGAGCTTTGTATGTCTTATGTCTGTAAACAACAGCCCTGGCAGCTTCTAGGGTCTCAGCTTTTCTGAGTGAACAAGCAGAGGGGAAGTCGGTCTGAATTTGGCACAAATTGTGACTTAAATTTGCATTAAAATCTTTAATCTAATTAAATACACAATTGTTCATTTATAGTATTTAATTATTATAACATTTTTTAAAGAATTTGTTTTGTTTTTTATTAATTTTAAAATCTTGAATTTTTTATGACTTTAATATGTGATTCTGTATTTCCTGCTCACATCACCATGGCAATTTCTGTGCAGGAAGAAAGGTCAGGCATTTCCAACTGAACAATCAACACCGAAACACAGATGATGTCATCTTACAGACGGCATTAAGGAAACATCGCATTGAGACGAACACAAGTGAGGAGCTTATGTCATATTCAAATCTGTTTAACTGTTACTACGGGTGGTGCTGAATGAGCTGCTGCTGAGTGTGTGTGTGGCTCGCCTGCATACAACTGATTTAGAGCTGATTACATGTTGCCTAGCAACAGCCAGACGCCTCTCAGTGCAAAAATATAATCTCCAGTGAGATGGAGATCAGAGCTGCTGCAGGAGGAGAGAATCATGATGTGCCTCTCCTTCTTGTTATGGTGTGATCAACACATTACACAGATGTAGTTAAAATGTTGGCCGATGGAAGGAACATCTCAGCTACTGTACAGCAAACCTAAGTCTATTTTCTTTAATAGTTTTTCTTAAGGGAGCAGATGAATTAGAAATGGTTTTGTATTGTATGTCAAAAGTGTTGCTACCAGAGGATACTCTAGTATTTATTACACATCCTGATTATTTGAATTGTTATTTGACTGGTTATCTGCACACACAGCATCTATCCCAGGTGTGTTTGGAGAGGGATCTCTCATCAGGGGCTCGTCCTAATGTTTCCTCCATTTCTACCCTGTAAGGTTTATTTGGGATTCTTTTGGATTATCTGAATACATAGTCTAATAATAAAGGGTGTCATATTCTTTACAGATTGTGAAGCCTATTTAGGCATATTTGTAATATTAAACTATATACATACAATTTACTTCACTAAAGTCCATCTGAGGAAATAAAATAAAACAAAACGACAATTGTTTTTCTGTCTTTCTTTGCTATTGGTATTTTGAAAAAATCTGATTAATTGACTTCCTATAATGTATTTATAAATGTCTTTGATGTTTTTCAGCTTTTCAATACTTAACATAAACAGACTGAGATTATTTTGAAATATAAACACAAATTCCAACAACAGGAAGTAGTCGTACCTGCACTCGTCCACATCCACCAGCTGTCTGGGAGGCGGAGCCACTTGGGCGGCGCCGAGCGGAGGCCTCAGGGCGTTGGCCGTCATGTTCCTCGGCAACATGGTCTGAGGGAGGGGCTTTGGAGGTAGCTCGGCCACGACTGGCGGGTCATCTCCGTCCTCTACCTCGGCCGCTTTGGGCGCCACTTTGGGCCCGGCAGGAAGAGGGGGGAGCGGCGGCTTGTAGCCCGTCAGGAGGAACAGGGTGGGGCTCCTTTTCCCAGCCGCAGCAGAGCTACTGCCGCCGGTCAGAGTCCTGACATCGCTGTCAACCGCGCGGCGCTCCTTGGTGACGGTTACCGTGGAGACACTGAGGCAAGAGCAAAGCAGAAGGGACAGGCAAAACATCCCTTTTTGAGTAGTAGCGTTCATTGTTTTATCAAAACAAAGTTCTTGAGCGGCTGTTAAAAAAAGAAATGACATAAACAGCTCCTGGTGTGTTTTCAGGGTCCTCTTTCTTTATAAAAAGCTTGAGTATGAAAAGTCTGATGAAGTATTTCCTTCTTGTTCAGTCCACACTGCACAGGAGCAAAGGTTCCTCTTCGAGATTCACTCAGTTCAAGCAATGTACGATGAAGGTGTTTGGCATTTCACTCTTTCAGCTTAATGTAAACATTTCTCTCTGAATACAAATCCTTTCCTTAAGCAGCTTTTGTAAACATTGAGGTCTTTCAGAGTTTTTAGGCCCTATATGAACGTTCTGTTCTGTTATAATCAATTGAAACGAACACTTCAACTGATTATAAATATAGAATAATGTGGTTTGTTTTTATGGCAGCAGGTGTTGGATATTAAAGTTTGGTCTGTCAGTTTTTACAGTCTCTAGGCCAAAATTCAAATCTTTAAAATAGGCAGTAATTATTTTTACTGTAAACAAAATGAGTAAACTCTTTTAATACTAGACCTCTTTCGAAAAAGAGTCTGATGTATTTCCTACTGGAGAGTTTTCTTGTAGTCGTTTATGGCACGGTTTAAGTAACGATTCACGTATGGAAAGTGTAGTCTGTAAACATTTAGCGCTGTATGTAAACTTTATTTTTGATGAGCTTTAACAGACGTTGGATGTTCTCCTGTTTGAGTTTGGCACTTCTGTTGTCCTGCGTGTATAACTGTTATGTGAAATCATACATGGGAAAAGGTTTGTTTTAAAAAATCTAATCAAATATGGAGCTCTGTTTGTCTGGTGTCTGTAAACAACAGCAGCAGCTTAAGAGATCTCAGCAGAAGTTAGTCTGAATTTGGCACAAGCCGTGACTTTAATTTGTATTTTGATAAACTATGCTTACAATTTGTCAATAAACAAACTCTTTTTCATTAAGTTTAGATGAAGAGAATCGATAAAGGTGAATATGCTTGAAATGTTGGGTTAAACACTAGTAGAATTGTGAATTTATAAGTTGTGGACAGACTAATAAAGCTGATAAATGAACATTAAGTAGTGTTAAATCTTTAAGAAAAAACGTCCAGCAGTTGCTAGAAGTGTGTTCAATAAATGAGCATGTGAAGGCATTCACGAAAGAGTGATCTAGCGAGAAGGTGGTGACAAAAAGAGAGAAATAAAAAGAGGATCTATGTGCGTTCGATACCCTTGTGTGAGTGTCTTTGCTCTGAATTTAGCTTGGCCCAACAGAAGAGAACGAAGGAGGGCTTGGGCCCGGTTCTAGCAGGGCAGCGAGGTTCTGCCCACAGAACAGACATGAAAATGTCCGGATTCATCCGTCAGCACAGTGGAACACGGGGCGACGGCGGGAACTCGGCGACGGGCACTGGACGCGGTCGCTGCCACGCTCACAGATTTAAAAGCGATCTATTTAAGACACGGGGTAGGAAACAAAACACTTTCTTCATTGACTCCCTGAATGTGCACTGATGTGTTCGAAGATCACTTAGTTGAAGGAATCTCAAACATCGTGAGGTGTTTTTGTAAATGAGTAAAGTATTTGTATGGCTGGTGTTCGGTATGGCTTCAGGTTATGTTCTTAGAAACTTCCACGATCAATGTGAATACAGTGAAAGGTTTTAAGTTGCATGTTTTTTGTTGTTTTTTTTAGTAGAATAAGAGGAAGAAGAGGTCTGGGATAAGATAAAGGGGGTTTTTCAGTGTGGAAGAAACAGAAGACAACAAAGAGCGAGAGGCCTCTCTCGTGTAAGCGACTGGAAGAAGGAGATAGGCAAAGTGTCGACAGCGTTTCACAGCGCGGACTGAGACGAGAGGTATCTCCGAGCCTTTGAGATAGCAGCGGTGATGGCGGTGCTAGTGGAGCCTATATTTATCAGGTTTGACGCGGCTTGTTTCGCCCGTCAGTCAAACCCCGTCCTGCCCAAGCTTTAAAAGTGTTCAGGCGCCGTCGGAGCGGAGCTATCGCTGCTTTCCTTCTGCAACACACAAGCAGGAGGGTCCGTTTATAAAGCACTTTGAACCAATAATGCACCGATCGCCGTCTCTCAGGTTCAGCATTAAGAGCGGCAGCTATGCAAACACGGACCGAAGACAAATGATATATAAAGTCTGTTAAAATATCTCTTCGATGTGCTGTGATGGATGTGTTTGGGTTTAATGGGATTTTAATGGGAAGGGCTGTACTCTAAATCAAAGCTAAATGACTGAATAATCTCTTCGTATGATGCTTTTGTGACGGTGGGTTTCTGGATTTGTTTTGCTTCTTCTCTTGACACAGTCGGTTTGGCACGTGGTTTTGGTCTTGCTTAGAACAAAAACAGCAGACAAGAAGGGAAGGGGTGCGTTTAGGAGAAAGTACAAATAGTGGAAAAGGAGCGAGTATAGTCTGTGAGGAGTCTAGGCTTTGAAAGCAGCCGAGACAATCCTCTGGAAAACCTCCATGTGGTGCCGGGGCGCTCCTGTAGAGATTCAAAGTCTTTCTGCCTCTCACAGGTTCACATCAGCAGCGTCCACACTGCAAGAGAAGAACACAACATAAATAAGATGCATTTATGTCCAGAAGATGGAAAAGGTGCATTAAGAAGAATCTTCTGTGGGTTTTTATATATATATATATATATATATATATATATATATATATATATATATATATATATATATATATATATATATATATATATATACTCATTAGTATAATGTCTGTTGTTTTATAGAGTTGTGCAGAAACAAGTCCTAAAACCAGGCCAAACAACATTTGACCAATTCCGGTTCCACGTCACAAATTCAAAGTTGTATTGAACACGATTGTGGTTAAAAGACTGAATTAGGGTTTGTGGTTAACACAAGCTGAAGAGATTTTCACGTTTTCTTCTCGGACATAAATACGTCAGTAATTACCCTACTTGTGAATGTCTGACCCTTCTATGTGTCTTAAAAACAGGGGTTCCTAACTAGTGACAATAAGAGACAACACAATGTCATCACGCCAACACAAGAGTGCCTTTAGCTTAGGTGATGTGCAGCCATGCGACTAGCTTTTTACTCCTACTTTAAACTGGCGATTGCGCTGACGCTTCAAACATCACAAAGTAGTGTTAATATGTGCTGAATAAATGTTTTAAATATCATGAATGTGGGTTTGCCACAGAGCATATTACCCAGAAATCCTGCACAACACTGATTCAACGTGTTCTTCTCTACAGAAACCAGACAGGTGAAGAAGGAAAACTATTGAATGTTGCCCAGGCATTTAGCTGGCTCACTTCCTGTGCTGGAGACAAATACGTACACACACTCACAAATATATAAAACATCAGCTGATAGAGGGGACCGAAGCAGCCGTGATCTGACTTTGATGAAAAGAGAGCAGGCAACATGACAGCTGCCATATGGACTCATCTGACAGAAGGACCGAGGAAAGAGACGCAGATGCGTATATGTATGTGTGTGTGTGTGTGTGTGTGTGTGTGGCCTGCAGCATCAGTGATGGGAGTGGACGGGCATGACACTGTCAGGAAAAAATCCTTCAACCCTGGAATGAATGTTTCCTAGGTGCTGTGTATGAAAAGGTTATAAGCGTCCTTCTGCAGAGTCCTTCTGTCATACCACAGTATCGAACATGAAGGAGACAAGGGAGCAGAGGAAGCATGTTCATTTGTGTGGGGTATGGTCGCACACATGTCATACTTATTTTGCATTTAGGATAATTATCAATCAACTAAATCAGCACATTCAATTATAAAACTGTTTCAACAATACATCTAGTACAAACTAAAAATGTTGAGGGGAAAACGTTTGAATAGTATGCTATTAGATTAGGAACGGTTCTACATTCGGGCTATATGTCACTATACTATCAAATACAGTCCTCTGTTAAGCTCTGATTTGTCATTTTAAAAGATATGTTAAGCATTATATAAAAGAAAGGGATTCTTAAAGGCGATGTTATACATTACGTTACCAACAATGACAGTCAGTGGCTACATTTGAAGGTAATGTTAGGTTTCTCAGACATGATTAGGTATGGGACAATCATTCCATAATCAAAATATGCTTTAAACTTTGAAAGAAAAGGCACTAAAGTATACCTATGAGGGTTTTTTATTTAAATAAAATCCTGTTAAGTCCCATCCCTTACACATGATTATCATGAAAATCTTGAAATATTGGTCCAACAGTGACCTGCAATCATCTAAGCTGGATCCCTCAAAGCAAACAGAAAGAGAGATCAGTCCCTGGAGCAACAGCGCTGCCTGTCACTGACAGAAGCATCAAAGACAAAAAACACGCAACAAGACATCAGAGGCACATCCTGAAAAATGACAAAGGTAGAGAAAAGCAAGAAGTGGTGAATTACTGAGAGAGCTTTCCCTTCAGAAGCAGGAACATGATGAGTGTGAGTGCACGAGACACATATATATGAGAACAGGATGTTCTGATTCCGGGGTTCAGGAGTCGACGGGACTATTTCCTGAATCACAGCAACCTAAATAGCCCCGTCCCCTCTGCTGCCCCTGACAGCCTGGCTTCACATCGATGTGTCTCGACCCCCCCCCCCACTGACAAACAGCTGAACTTCCACCGGCTTTCAAACGCAAAGATTGGATTCATCCAATATATGAAATAAACATAATACATCCAGCAGTACTCACATTCAGGTTTAAGACATGGGCTGGGTGATTAGAAAAGACACTTACATTAATAACTACACAGAGAGCTAATAAAAACTCAAGATAATTAGATTGATAGAGAGAAATAGATACATAGTCAAATTGAGATTACTATATTAAATGATGAGTGCATTCCTCTTCCTAAACAGGAAGTGAGGGCGAGTGTTGGACAGTTTTATTGCCCGTTTGGTTGGTTTTTCTCTTATTCTGGAGCACACAATGAGGTAACACTATGACAACACTGTGCTACAGGAAGCCAAAGTAATGGTGTTTTTCTTTTCTTATGACTCTGTGTTATTAGAGGATATTCCTGGCTGGGCATGTGGGTCAAACCCAATATAATAAGACATGAACAAACAACCTATATTTACGCCTCAGAACGTTTCTTACGTTTCCTGTTTGCAAAATTGCAATATGATGGAAAGATAAACAAATATATTAATCACAAAGGGGAATTGAAAGCCCACACTAAGAAATAATTAAGACCTTCATTATAACTTCATCATTAATGTCCTGCCTGTCTCCTATATTAGGGTTGCACAGTTTGTGAAAATGAAATGATCATGATTGAGAAAGATATAACCGTCATGGCATGATTTTGAAAGAGGATCTGAACCAGACGCTGTATTTGATTTAGTCTATAGTAAAGGGTTTGTAGGCAGAGCTTATCTATGCAGCGCTACAATACTTCTTCCATTTGAACACATATTTAGCCTTTAACAACCATTGTGCTTCCTGACATTTGAATAATGCACTCCTCCATGCTATGATTTGGAAGGAACCACGATTCATTGTGCAAGCCTACTCTATACGTGTGCATTGTTTCTGGTTGACATGCCTGTGTGTTCTGCTGTGCCGTCTCCTGCTGAGCCCGGCCTGTGTGTCTCGCTGCGACTGCTTCACACATGTATGGATTTGACTTGCTGCCCATGTGCCTGCTGCTGCGTGCCTGCTGACACTTTCTGCACAATACTACGGCACACTACAGTATACGTGCTGGATATACGAAGGGGTACAATGCAGCTGAACATCACCATACGGACTGATGAACTCATTGCGATTACTTCGACTGACATTGCAATTGTGCTATTGGAAATCACCCATTTTAGAAAGTTTATTCAAAATATCATTGGAAAAATAAATGAATAAGATCAGGGTGTGAATTTTAAAGAACTGTAACAAACTAATCATTTGTTTTTAAGTCAGTACAACACCATTTGTAGTCCAGGACTTCTCTGCAACACAAATGTTGCCTTTAAAAAATATTGCACTTTAACTGTATATATATTGCGGTTTGGAAAGAAAATGTAATAATTGTGCTTCCCTATAGTCTTGACACTTGAGTATTTTCATTTTATGCTACATTATACCTCATATTTAACTTTTGACTCCACCTGCTATTTGATGGCTTTACTTACTTCCGACTGCCATTATCGGAGTAATTGTTCCACTGATAGAAATGTTTCCTAATATACATTTTCAACTACTTTGCGTGTAGAGAGTGGGCCGTTTGTTTATGTTTTCACTAATGTATGTGACACGGCTGTCCATTATCAGCGCACACTGAATCTGCTGTTCTCTACATTAGTTCATAGGAACTGCAGTGATCCCAAAGAATATTCTACTTGGGTTATTTAAAGCACCGCGTGTTAGGAAACCCAAATGCATGATATGAGTAATGCTTCAGAGTGATTCAAACATCCAGAGACGTGACGCCAGTCTGTCCACTCGCTGCCATATTGAGCATCATTCATGAGGAACCTGACGACCTATAGTTCAGGAAGCGCACATGGAGCAGATAACCCCGGGTTACAGAGCGACTGGATACGTGTGAACGCTTTCTGTAGGAGAACGAGCCTTTAGATATTTGTGCCGCTTCAGAGTGCCGTAGAGATAATGAAAATATGATGAAAGAAAGGAAAGAAACACCTTGAATCTCTGGAAGACGATTTCAGGGTCACCATCAGACGATTCCAAGTCAATCTTTTTTTATGCCGCTACCATGTTTACAGTATATGTTGTGGCTAGGAGATCATATTTATAATATTAAACTATCTTTGAAAGTCCTGCAAAGATATTATCATATCACTTTATCATTTCGCAAACTTATGTCGCTATTTGATCATTATTAGGACAGAAAATAAGCTTCTAAAGTTGTTTTAAATAAGAGGATATAATTAGAACAATTTGAGAAATCATCTATGAGCAAACATCCGGTGCTTCCAGGGTCTCAAATGCAACCGTGAGATACTTTTCCCTTTTCAATAAACCTAAATGCCATTTATTTGGACTGTTGGTCAACCAGTGGATATATTTTCTACAGCAAACATTCATCAACCAAAAATGACAGTGACAAGGTTATCAATACTGAATAACAATCGTTAGCTGCAGCCCTAAAAGAGTCTCTAAGATTGATTATTTAAAGCCTGATTATGCATACACGTGTCATTTCATGTTGTGTATTGATATTTGAAGAATATTATTCATATTGATTCCGACCATATGTCTGGCTCTCCCTTGCAGGATGAAGCCCCCCAACAGAAAGTGAGTTATGCAGCAGCAGCAGCAGCAGCAGCAGCAGCAGCAGCAGCAGCAGCAGCAGCACCCCCCCCAATTACACATGCACACTATTGCTCCCCCCTCCCTCCCTCCCTCCCTCCCTCCCTCTGTGGCAATGCGTGGGCTTAAGGCTCTCTATCAGCACTGCATTGAAAAGAGATAAAGCATTAAATATAAGACGTTTGTTTCCGTTGTTTCTTCTTTTCCATTTTAAGGGCGTTTTGTTTTGTTATTGTCAGTCAATCCAAGTAGCTGGCGTACATTTGAACACCGTCTGTGGTGTGTT